GGCAGGGACGATGGGGAGGTTGCAGCACCACCCCCTGTCATGCACAGAGCAGGGTGGATCAGGGGGTTGTGGTGCCACCCCTGTCACATACAGAGCCGGCTGATCAGGGGGTTGGGGCACTGCCCCCTGTCAGGCACAGAGCAGGGCCCATCAGGGGGTTGGGGAGCCCCCTCCTGTCACACACAGAGCAAGGCTGATCAGGGGGTTGAGGAGCTCCCCACTGTCACGCACAGAGCAGGGCCGATCAGGAGTTTGGGGCGCCTTCCCCTTTCATGAACAGAGCAGGGCAGATAGGGAGGTTGTGACCCCCCCACCCTCACCCCCCGTCACACACAGAGCTGCAGGGTGATCAGGGGGTTTGGGCGCTGCCCCCTGTCACGCTGCTCCAGGGGCCAGGAGGCCTCGCAGCTCCGCTGATCCCAGTGCTGGGAGGCCTCACGGCTCCACTTGACACCAGGGCAGTGAAACCTCGTTGCTCCACTGATCCCGGTACTAGGAGGCCTCGCTGCTCCGCTGATCCCGGTGCTGGGAGGCTCTGCTGATCGCAGGCCAGGAGGTCCTCGCAGCTCCGCTGATTCCAGTGCTGGGAGGCATATTACCCTTTTGCTATATAGGATAGAAGCCTGGTGCATGGGTGGGGGCCGGCTGGTTTGCCCTGACGGGTGTCCTGGATCAGGGTGGGGGTCCCGCTTGGGTGCCTGGCCAGCCTGGGTGAGGGGATGATGGTTGTTTGCATCTGGTCACACCCCCATTAGGGTGGGGGTCCCCACTGGGGTGCCTCTGGCGGGTGACTGAAGCTCCCAACCTCTCCTTTTTTTCTTTTTCTTTTTTTTGTTCTGGGATTTATTTACCTTCTATGGCTGTCACTGGAACTGAGAACCGGCTTTAGCTCTGAGGCTCGGCCCCACCTCTGACACCTCGGCTGCTAAAAGTAGGCATCTGGGTTTGTTTGGCTTCTATAATTGAAACACTGTTGCAGCTCCAGCTCTTAGGCCCCGCTGGCTGAAAGCAGATTTCTGGGGTTTGTTTAGCTTCTATAATTGCAACATTGTTTCTTAGAGTGCAGCTCAGAGGCCAGCAGCAGTAGTCGGGGAACCTTGGCCTCCTCCATCGCCAGGGCAAGCAAGCCTCCTGTTTGCTTCAGCTGCCTGGCTGCTGGCCGCCATCTTAGTTGGCAGTTAATTTGCTTATCGCCCTGATTAGCCAATGGGAAGCGTGTTGGAGGTACGGTTAATTACCATGTTTGTCTATTATTAGATAGGAGATATATATATATATATTTGTTGTTGTTGTTGTTTCTTGTTTTTAAAAAGAGACCATTGGTTGACAAATGGAGGACTCTTCCAAGGTCCTTATGCAGGAGTAGGGAGCTTTGCAGCCAGTGGTCTCAGATAATGGGAGGAGTGGACATTTGGGTAGGCCATGTGGTTGCTGAGGAAAATGAAGAGGTTTTGAGAACAGCTTGGGATATAGGATCTGATGTTGCTTTTAGACAGGCAGATTGCTGGGGCCACAGTTGGCATGAGCCTAGGGTTTGCAGGCACCTAGGTTGCTGCTTCTGAGTGTGCATCTCCCTGGGGAGCTGAGTTGCTTAGCATCCAACCCCCACTCAACTATGTGGCCTGCAGTAAGTGACATAACCTCTCTGAGCTTTGATTTGATCCTCCATAAAACAGGGAGAGTGTGTGTGGGGGGGGGTGCGGGGGGGCGGGTGATAGCTCACCCTCAATGTTGGAGCAGAGCTGAGACATGGGAGGTGCCTGATTGTCTTAGCTTCACCTTGGTCACCCAGGAGGACACTCTTGCACTGCCCCTCCTGACCACATTGAGGTCCTTGCTTGCTAGGTGGCTTGGGCAGCCTGCCTTCTCTCTCTAAATCTCAGTTTCCCTATCTGTAGGATGTAATCACTGTTGGTACCCCAATGCCCACTACATCTTCCAAGTGTTCTTGGGTCTCCAGTGCCTGGCAGACCCCAGCTTTCTCTGTAGTCACTCTCAGGGGGCATCTTGTGGTCATCTGGCAGCTTATGCATTCCAAATGGCCTGGTCAGGGTCAGAGTAGCCTCAAGACCCCTGGTGAGCTCCAGGCACGTGCCTGGCCCCTCCAGCCTGCACCTCAGAGCCCCTCTCCTCTCTTGGAGTACACTCCTCTACTGGTCATTCACTCCCCCTAGCCTGAAGAGGGACTCATTTTTTAAAAAAATATATTTTATTGATTTTTTACAGAGAAGAAGGGAGAAGGATAGAAGTTAGAAACATCGATGAGAGAGATCTATCAGCTGCCTCCTGCACGCCCCCGACTGGGGATGTGTTCTCAACCAAGGTACATGCCCTTGACTGGAATCAAACCTGGGACCCCTCAGTCTGCAGGCCGACGCTCTATACACTGAGCCAAACCAGTTAGGGCAAGGAGGGACTCATTTTCACTCTTGACATCAGTTCAAGCCCTTTTCCCAGAAGGCTCCTGGTTTCCATGGAAATTGGCTAATACAAATAGCTGTGAGGTCAGCACCCTGACCCCACCTCCCTGCAGTGTCCAAGTCTCCCCCGCACCCAGCTGGGCGGGCCCTGCCTGCTCAATTGGGCTGACATGACCCTCTACCCCAGTGACCCTGCCCTGACCTCCCCTCACCAGGGACTTGGCAAGGGTGTAGGAGAAGGATCCCTGCCTGTTCCAGGTTGCCCTGACTTTGATTTCTGGGTCAGCCAAATGTGTGACCTTGGGACAGTCCTTCTGTTACCAGCAAGACAAGACTTCAATTCTTATATACTTGAAGGAAAGGTTTCAAGCAAGAGACACAGTGCAGCAAAGCAAGCAAGAATTTGTTGGCTGTAGCAAAAACACACTCAGGACAGTGAAACAAGGAAGGACATAGTAGAAGCAACAGGAGAGCCTAGGCTGGGCTGCTTTGGCTCACTGGGAAGTCAGAGAAAAGGGGGCCTTGGAAACAAGTTCAGGGAGTTTGCCCAGGATGAGCTGCTGCTACCCACTGCTACCCTGGTTGCAAGTCTTGTGGGGTCCCTTAGAGTTTAGGGAATACATGCCTGTGGAGGAAGGAGAGGGGGAAGGGAATGGCACAGGCACGCTCCCCTTGGGGAGAGCATGAGTTGGGTCCTTTGCATTGGTGGTATTTATTTCTTGCAGGTGGGAATCTTAGGGGAGGTCTCAGGGGAGGCATGCACCAGCTTTCCAGGTGTGCTCTTTCAGGGTCTTGGTCACCACTGATTGGTTGGCACCTGGGTAGGGCATCAATAGTCAGTGCAGCTGGTCCTGAGGCAGCCATGGTGTCGCTTGTCTGATTTAGCTGCTATTTTGGGCCGGGAGCTGAAATACAGCTGAGGCCTAGCTGTTATCGTTAGGGAGGAAAAGGTCAGGGGGTGTAAACTGCATGACCAGCAATATGCTAGGGAAGGAAAGGTTACTGTGGGGGTGAGGTTATCATTTTCCCAGTTTTGCGCCTTGCTAGGCACCCAGGGCTTTTGGTCTTGGTGACCTTCTATACCTGGTCCATTGTCCTTGCTCTGTTCATGTCTGCCTTAATGCCTATAACACTGTGACCTTGGGGAGTCCTCAGGCCCTGTAAGCTTTATGTTACTTCATTTGTCACATGGGCAGGAGTGGGGCAAGGGTGAGTGGGGAGGCTGGATGCTGCCAGCCAGTTTCTGAGGAAGCCTGAGTGCTGCCCTGTGATTCCTGCCCCAGATCAGCTCTCACTCTGCCCATGGCTCCCCATCAACCTCCCCATAAAACCAAACTGCACTCCAGGCCCTGCCCACCCCCACCCTCATCTTCCTCATGCTCTCCTTTAATCATGATTCTAGCCACACCAGCCTCCTCACCTCAGGGCCTTTGCCCTCCTTTTGGACTACCCTTCCCTCTGTCCTCTCCCCTTCCCAGTCCCATCACCCCTTGTGCCACTGACCTCTGATGCCATTTGAGGTCCACTTGTTTGTATGTTTTCCTGTGTGTCTGCCCCCCACTCTCTGTGGGTAGGCTCCTGTCTTCCCCACTCTGCTGCAGCTTCCTGTAAACATTTCTGAACATTTACCTGAGTAAATTAATAAGTACACAGGGTGGTTGGAGAGAAGGCCTCCCGCACAGCCCAGGGCCCACTCCTGGGCTCTCTGCCAGCTTTTCTATAGCTGCAGGCCTCTTTGGGGATGGGTGGCTCCCGTTTATCAGTTCTTCCCACCTTAGCCAGAAGAAATGGGTGTCTTCAGGGGTGCACTTAGGGACTGTTTAGATGTCCTCAGCCTGGTTATCCCATGTCCAGCTGAAGATCCCACATTTCCCAGACATTGGCCATGCTTAGGTTCTAGTCCCTGCACTGCCACCTCAGGTTAGCCTTGGCTGACTCAACTGAAAATGGACTAAGTGTTTGTCACTGCACTGGGCCATAGCTCCCTGCAAGGCCTGGTTGGAGGTGTGC